CTGACATTATAAAGATGCTTGATTTCTTGATTGACAACATATTTGTTAAGTTTGGAGAACGTGTTTTTCAACAAACAATTGGCATTGACATGGGAACAAACTGTGTTCCTCTTCTTGCCGACTTGTTCCTTTATTCATATGAAGCTGACATCATACATGAAGTTCTTAGGAGAAAGAAAAGAAGTTAGCAGTATCCTTTAACTTTACTTTCCGCTATATAGACGATGTTCTTTCACTAAATAACTCAACATATTGTGACTATATTTAACGCATCTGTCCCATCGAACTTGAGATAATGGATACAACAGATAGAGTTAAGTCTGCTTCATATTTTGTCTTTCATCTAAGAATTGATAATGAAATCCGGTTGAAAACAAAAAAATTACGACAACAGGGATGATTTCAGCTTCCTAATTGTGAACTTTCCATTTAAATGTAGCAACATTCCAGCAGCGCCTGCATACGAAGTTTTATTTTCCCAGTTGATACGATATTCCAGGGCTTGTATTTCCTATCATGAATTCCTTGATAGAGGGTTGCTGCTCACAAGAAAGCCATTAAAACAAGAGCTCCAAGTGTTGGAAGTTGAAATCTTCCCTTCGTAAATTTTACGGACGCCATCACGAGTTGGTTGACCTTTATGGAATATCCTTTTCACAGCTGATATCGGATATGTTCCTATTGTCGTAACTTCAATCCCGTCCCCCTTTCCCCGAATGTGACTTACCGAATTATACTTATTACCGAGTTTGTACTAGCATGAGCAACACGACGAGTGCCACATGTGGAGCAGGATCTGCTTAACCTTCCTGAGTATCTGAGATTACCCCCGGTTTTTGGTGGGGTTCGTGTTGCTCGGTCTTTAGTTTTCTATGTTGTGTTTTGTGTACTGTTGTGTACTGTTGTGTTTGTCTTTTTCTTTTTTTAGCCATGGCGTTGTCAGTTTATTTTTGACTTATGAGTTTGAATGTCCCTTTGGTATCTTTCGCCTCTCTTTTAAGCTAAACAAAAAAAGCACATGAACCCTCCTTTTTTTTTATCCGTAATCAAAACATAAACTTCTTAAATAATGATAATCTAATTTATCAGAAACAAAACCAATAACATGTTTTTTCTGTATGCTGTTGTAGTAGTAAGAAAGTTGTCTACGCTTGTCTATCAATGGTAATTGTGTAGTTTCACAAAATTGTTATCGTATCTAACCTTAAAACTTGGTATCTAAGAATGGAATACAAAATAAAAATATCCCTATTTGTCTCAGCTATTTGTGTTATTTTGTCGGAATGTTTTAAAATATAATATTATGGGGTTGTTTACCTTATAGACAAACATGCCAAAATCAAACTGATAAATCTCGAAAAATAAGTCGCGACGATATATAATTTTACTTTCTACTGTATAATCAAACAAATGACTAATTGATTTTTCAAGATAAATTGTGCACCATTGTTTAAAATCTATAAATAACTTTTATGTATATTGCAAATTTCTATAAAAGTTTCTTTGAAAATATCAGATTTTAATTTTCATCTTGTCAAAGTCAATGTCGCGAGGCATGACATATATATTGATTTCTAGTTGTATTTGACAGTCTAATGGATGTCTAATTATAGTGAAATAAGTACTACAGATTTGACAAGAGAATGACATATCCAATTTATACAATAGTAATAAAATGGTGTTTTATAAATTAAAAGACGAATTGGCTATACTTTCTCCTCAATGTTTAATATGTTTTATGGCCACCTGTTTTAAAAAGTCAATCTTAACTGTATTTGAAATTAACATATAAGCTGTCAGTACAATCACAATTAACTTTGGTTAAAACACAAGCAAACCTGACACGTGGATCACTTTATTGTTGTACGTGAAGGCATATCAGTTTTAAGGTTTTTTTATTGACAATATAATGATGATTTGATGATATTTGGTATTGGTGTTGGTTTTTTTGAGGCCATTCACATCTTATACTCAACGTGACATTGGCTGTGATTGCTGGTGCCAGTTGCATTTGAGATACCGTACTGCTACTTGGTTGTGTTCATGTTACCAAATCTTCACCATTGGACATTTTTTTTCATTACATTGTCTTTGTTTTTGGCAATGGTGTTGTCTATTTTTAAACGACGTATAGTTTCTCATTGCCCTTTGGTATATTCTCTATCATTTTTCTCAATGCTTTAGTTCTATAATACAATATCTGATGAGATATGCCGTCTGGTATTATATTTTTTACGATGAATTTATATGTACAGATATAAGATGCTGATAACATCTGTTAAATATTTTTGGCTATTTTTACCTTGTAAAAGTAATTTTGAGTCATTTTATGGATGGGCTTCCTAAAGTCGGCTCCACTAGCACATATTCAAACAAACCGTACAAGTTGTGAAATATATCACATGCCAAACGATGCGTCAAGAGAAACATTGCAACCTAGGAAAAGGAAGTATCTTTTGGCGTATATTGAATAATTACATATTTTGATTTTTTCATTTAGTACCTATTAATTTATGTCTAAAAACGTACAAGATTAAGTGTTCCTACTATTAAGCTAATTTGTTTTTGATAATTAAAATCAGCGTGCTTAATAAACTTGGGATTATTAACAGTATAAGTAAGTTTTTTTTTAAATTTCCAATTCTAAAGATTTTCCAAAGAAAATTCATTTTCATGAAATAACTAAGGAAAAAATTCGCAATTACAGGTATATGATTAGTACCCATAGGAAATCTGATAAACTGCCATAAAAATTTTAAAAAAATAGGCCTTAATCCTTTTTTAGCATGACCAGCAACAATGATTTGCATCCCTTCCAAGACTATAGACAGACCGGTAATTATTACCGGAGAATCCGTTCCATTGAATTCTTTATTTAATATAATGATAACGGTTTAATACCAGAATTTGTGGAACTTTACTACTCATTAGTTTAGTTAATTGATGTGTTGATGTATCTTCACAGCACCTGCTTCCTTTTAAAGTATATTTGTGTTGTTGTTTTGTTCCTGTTTAGCCTGATTATGGTTTAACTCGCAGCTAAATATACATCCTATAGTTTATTTTCATTTGCTTTCTTAATAGAATAAAGAATGGAAACGGGGAATGTGTCAAAGAAACAACAACCCGACCAAGGCGCAGAAAACAGCCTACTGCCACCAATGGGTCTTCAACGCAGCGAGAAAATTCCACACCGGAGGCTGGCCCCATTAACAATAAGGTATACTAGTTCAGAATGCCACACTATACTCCGAAACATACAAATGAAAAAAAAAAACAAAAAAAAACAGAACGCACACACACACACAAGACTAACAAAGGCTTGAGGTTCCCAACTTGGAACAAGCGCAAAATAGCGGCGGGGTTATACATGTTTTGTGAGATCTCAACCCTCCCTTTTGCCTCTAACCAATGTGAAATAAACAAACACACAGCAAACGTACAGTAAAACTCTGTTTAAATGAACTCCCGAGTCCGATGTTAGAATAGGTAACATGAGAATCTAAGAAAACTGACAATGATAAACATAAATTAACAAAGGACTTCTAGCAGTTAATGACATGTCAGCTCCAGACTTCAAATAAACTGATTGAAAAATTATGTCTTCATCATATGAAAATCAATCACAACCCCTCCCACTATGAACATAACCCATATGATGTCAACAACTGGTTTTAGATTAAATATGTTTATTTCAGATTCAAAGACCCTATGAGTGAATCAATATTAATTCAAAAAAAGAAATGCCATCTTTAATGACTTGACAACAGTATCATAATTATATCCCTTGTGAATATTGTCTGTTTAAATGTTTGGTTAGCTTTTAATTAAGGTGAATGGCGACATTTCTGTGCTTTGTATACAATATCACCATTAAAGAAAGGATGTGCAATACCCGAACGTGTAAGAAATCTGCACGTTGATTTATATTTACGAATGCAGTCCTTGTACCGATGATAAAATTTAGTTAAAGTTTGTGATATTCGAAAACCTTGGTGTAAAACTTTTTTAGTAACACAGAGATTTCTCTCGTTAAAATCAAATACATAGTTACATACACGAGCGAATCGAACAAGTTGAGATATGTAAAGACCATACGATATTGCCAAGGGAACGTCACCATTTAAAAACGGATAATTAACAATAGAAAATTAGAATCATCTCTTTTATCGTAAATTTTAGTATTAGGCTTCCCATTAGAGATATTCATACCAAGACCCAGGAAAGGGCAGTGTTCATTGTTAGTATTAGCGTTATTTATAAGTTCAACAGGATAAATCTCTTTAGTGTACATAATGAAGTCTTCATTATTGAGAGCCAACATATCAAATAGAGCTTATTAAACTTAACAATTGACCCTATTCAGCACATGAATCGGATTAAACACGTTTCCTAACAATTTCCAGACGTGTTTAGTCCTCAAACCGAGTTTGACACTATTGAAACATTATGCGCCTCACGGAGAGTAGATTGATATGTACACTTCCAAAATAGCTGATGTCACTTATCTTTTTTTTTCTGGTGAGATGAAGTTATGTATGAATTGCAGTAGGCTTCAATTTACAATTCGAAAATGCTGTAGTTTTGTGACTACATTCATCGTAGTAAAGCATAGTTGTAAGCATTGGTGTGAAATTTGGTGATTTGATGACCAGCATTATAATAAGTAGCAAGATAAAAAGTTGCAAATTTCAGTACATTCATACCTAACCGTCTACAATCTACAAACACTCACGTACAATAAGTGATAATTTGTCGAGATATATTCCAAAAATAGTAACCAAGGGATCTTAAGGTACCTTTCTGTGCACTCGAACAAACTTAAAATTAACACTTTCCAAACAATTAGAATTTTGAACTCGACCAATTTCAGAATTTGAATACCCTTTCCGAACTTTATACCTGTAACGATAGACAGTTTTAAATTAACGAACAAAAATTAAAATATTTTACTAACAAGACTAGGTCACTTCTATTCTACAATTTATAAGATAATGACATGAGCTTTCAAAGTGGTTTATTGAAAAGCGATAACTTTTATTTTTAAGTTGAATGACATAATTGGTATATAACATATCTCAAAATAAAATTTCCCCTGCTTTTGATTGGTAAGAATGATAAATGGCCATGCAATTCCCCCAAAACAAAATATGCTTCTCGTAAAACAATGTTCATTTATTATCTTAAAAAGACATAAATGTTACATTCTTGGGCTGTGTACTACACCATTTTAATGCTCTACTTTTTACACTTATTTGGAACTAACATACATACATAGAATATAATGATATATATAATACACGATAATCAAACAAAATGATACTGTCTAGCACGACAAACGTTGTCAGTTATATAAATACGTTATGCACAAGAAAGGTAAACAAAAATATCATTGTTTATGTATGTCTTAGAAAAACAAAGGATATGGGGTATTCATCCATCCATGACACAAAATCAGTACATGTACAGCAAAAATCACACAAAAAGCAAAGGAACAGCGTCATTTTACTGTTGTATATTACATATATAGTCTGTTCATATAAAGATAAGGAAACGTGGTATGAAACCCAGATGAGACAAATCCCAGAATCCAAATAAAATGCATGTTACCAACTATAAATTACCACATTCAACAATGAGCAAAATTCTTATCGTATAGTCAGCTATAAAAGGCTCCAACATGACAAAATGTGAAGCACATCAACGGTCTATTTAATGCCAAACCAATTTAAAAAATGATAAATGGACATACATGTGCAGCAACAAACGACAATCGCTGAAAATCTGTCATAAAAAGACAACAACATTAAAACCTTGGTTCAGTCCCTTTTCATATCTTTTATAACAAATTGAAAATGGTCTTTCAATGTTTTCGCTAACTGAGGATTTCAAGTATATTTCTAGTATTATCCTAAAAGGATTTGCTTTTGTAGCTCCAATAGAGGCCTCGTTTGAAAATTAACCCAGCCACAAATATAAACAATCAAATAATAAATGAGCTGATTGACTCTCGGTCCTGTGAGCAAAATCAGGAACATTCAGCTCTACGTGAAATGCTGGTCCATTAATGTATTTTATTCCTATAACTCCATATTGTCGAAATTTCCAACAAAAATATCGTTGATTTTTAATTCTCCTTTGTACAGTGTCACACGTACCTCTCTGAAAGTAATAAGAAATGAAAAATTATATAAGGTTTAGTTTCTTCTTGTTTGAGATACATGTCTCAAAAAGTGAAAGATATGAGTTATTTCTTTCAAGAAATTGTTTGACCGGAAGACAAATACGTTAAACAGCATTTACAAGTATAACGCCAAAATTTTAAATAAATATCAAATACAAACCACTCTTAATAGCCTTAACTACGTCAGGCTGATCGATTTGAATTATATGCTATAATTATAGGCGGATCAGGAGGGGGGCTAGGCCCCCCCCTTTTGTGGGAAAAGTTTGGTTGATTATGTAGGGAATCACTGAAGCATGACTGTAGCGGGGCCCCTCTTATGGCAGTCAGTGCCCCCGTCTGTAACCAGGTATTTTACTTAGAAAATTTACAATCCAAGAAACACAACACACAATGATAGATGTTGCCGGGTTAGTGCTCTTTCCCAAAACTTTTCAATATTCTTCAATTTAAAGTTACAAAAATGTCTACAGTTCAATATCCAACGATTACATCGTATCACATTAAAAAAAAAACGATTATTCTCACACACTTCGTTGTTCTGTAATTCGATTATACAAATTTATAGACATAACGCATTACCTGGTTTTTGTCAATTTTATCTTATTGGTTTTATTTTTTTCATGTCATGTGACCAAAGTATTCAAGTTAACTAAAATTTCATCTTTTCTCACCTTTGAACAAACGTCGGAGAAGAAGGATTTGAAGCAAGAGGGCGAAGAACATTTCCATTCTGTACTTCTTCCAATACTTCTTCGTTTTTGCAAAAAATCTGTTTTGCAGCTGTTCGGAAACTACCACTGAACAAGGCACAGGATAACGGACTTAGAACAGTGCTGCTTTTTGCAAACATCGTTGGTGTCAGCAAAATCCAAGCTGGCACATTTTTATCGACCATAACATACACACCAAGTATGGCATAAGGCGTCCAAGCTACCATGAAGGCAGCAACCATTGCCAAAGAGGCCTGAAGTAAGATAAACAATAATTTTATAAAAGAAGATAACACATCTTTTTTTTGCTAACAATACTTTTCAATATATATTTTTTTATAAATCTTTGAAACGACACCTTTTTTTTCAAAAACTACTATGAGAGTTCTCCTTTCGATATTTACATCACTTGCAGTTATAGCATCTGTCAATAAATATTAAATAAAACCACAGTGATGGTATTTCAACAAAAAACATACCATACATCAAAACAGAGTTTAGATTGGGTGGATGTAAATTAGAAAAAGTATTGAAATATAAATATATAGGTAATATAATAGAGGCTTCGGGTAAATTCCACACCTCCCATGTGGAGCTCTCTAAAAAGGTACAAAAGTTCTATGCAATATGAACAATATAGAAAATATACATATAAATATATATAAAAAACTTTTTGAATCTTTAGTTAAGCCAATTTTAATGTATAATTCAGAAATTTGGTATATGGACTACTATGAAAAAATATTAAAATCTCAGAGTAGAGCAGTAAATAATAATACAGCTTTATTGAAAAAGTAAATTTAAAATTTTGCAAATCAATTCTAGGTTTAAGTAAAAAGCAGTAAACATTGCGTCAAGGTCAGAAGTTAGGACAATATCCAAGAGATGTATATGTAAAAGTACAAGCACTAAAATATTTAGCAAGAATATCTAACATTGAAATTAATCCTTTGATACATGATGCATACTGCACAACAAAACTATTAGATGAAGAAGGAACTTATTCTTGGTATACATTTGTCAAAAATATAATTCATGAAAATAATATAGAATTTATTTATCAGAGATAGAAAATATTAATTTTATGCAAGAAAAATATAAAATAAATAAACACATGAAGGAGATTATACAAGAAAACTATAAAAAGTTGTTCTTTAAGAAATTAAACTCTTTAATGAATAATAATAAATTATATATTCATAGTAAATTAAAAAGATTTATGAAACTGAACCATATTTACTTAAAGAAAATAACTTTGAAACAAGGAAATGCTTTACTAAATTAAGGGTAAGTGACTATATTTTGGAAATTGAAAGGGGGAGGTACAGAAACATAAAAAGAGAAGTACGTTTATGTCAATATTGTCCTTTAAATAAAATAGATGATGCAGATCATTTCTTATTTGAATGTAAACAAAATGAAAACTTGAGACTTGAATTCTTAAGATAAAGTAAAAATATCTATTCAAATATAGATGAGATGGATAAATTGAATAAATTGATTTTATGTCTTTCATGTCGTCATATTTATTTATTAAATTTATTAAAAAGTCCTGGTCACTGAGGAGAGTGGATTCAACAACTGCATGATATGTACATATATGAATTCATTTCTTTTTTCTATTATTTTTGTGATGCATTATGTAATGTGTTATTTTGTTTTATTATACTTCACGTAAAAATGCAATATTTTGATTGGCTTATACGAGGTGTTAATTTACTCTATTCTATGATAAATACTCTATTACCCTTCACGGTGACCCTTGATCAACTGTGCGCTTTATTAAATACGGATGGTTGTTATATATGTAAGACGTCATAGTTTATTACTTTGAATTTGAAATTTAATCGACAGTAATAACAGAACATTCAGTATAATAGATTAAATAACACATATCTGAGAGGGTGATAGAGCAGATTGTTACCCCTCGAAAAGACATTGTCAATCTTGGCTTCGCCTCAGTTGACAATGTTTTCTCGGGGTAACAATCTGCTTTATCACCATCTCAGCTATGTGTTATTTATATATTCGTGTATGCCATCAACCCCATTGGGTTATAATAGTGCATTATTTTCAATATATCGAACCACAAAATTACGTTGGATGAAAATGTGAAGTTATGCTTTCGTCCAGTTTCTTTTACATTGAAATCTCTCGTAGTATTTCCAAGTCGTTAAGCAACAATAAAAGGTTGAGACTGTTCCGAATGGCATATTGATTTTCTGAGATGTGATTTTAAAATTGTTTACTTCCTATACTGCGTGATAAAGCTGACGTTATTGAGTGCAAAATAACAGTCTTTATCTCTTCATATATTATAATCTAGTTAGCAAACAAATTCATTAAAAACATTTATTATATAATTTATTTGTTTAATATTTCAATATGTTTTGTACTGAGAAAAATATATAATTATAACACGGATGAAATGCTGATTTGACGATGTATACCAGCTTAAGGTTAGAGGATTGAGTCATAATAGCTCAGGTTAAAGTTCGTTTTTTTTCTATATCTCCTCTGGGGAGGGGAGCAAAGTCGAGCCTGTGTAAGAGATAAATTTGTCCTGGTAAAATATGTCCGGGCGGACACATTTTACTAGTATAAAAAGTCCATGGTTACAGAATTTACTAGTATTGTTAGTCCGATGTTAGTAATTTATGTCCCCAGACTAATTTTCCTAGGAATTCAAGTCCATGTCATTAATATTCCTAGGTAAAAACGTCCATGTCCTTTTTTTTATAGGAAACATATTAATGACTCAAATCATTTACATTTAAACAATGAAAATTTAAATGTTATCTTTTATTATTGTTTAAGAGTTGTGTATTTATATTTTTAATAAAATGTATGTCCCCAGACTAGTTTTCCTAGGAAATCATGTCCATGTCATTAATATTCCTAGGTAAAAACGTCCATGCCCTTTATTTTAAAAGGTAAATATAAATGTTATGTTTTGATATTGTTTAAGAGTTGTGTATCAATTTTTTAAATAAAATTTATGTCCCCAGATTAATTTTCCTAGGAAATCATGTCCGTGTCATTAATATTCCTAAGTAAAAATGTCCAGGTCCTTTTTTTAAAAGGAAATTTTTAACGAAACTAATTATTTACATGTAAACAATGGAATTTCAATTTTTATGTTTTAATATTGTTAAAGAGTTGTGCATTAATATTTTCATAAATTTCATGTCCCCAGACTAATTTTTCTAGGAAATCATGTCCATGTCATTAATATTCCTAGGAAAAAACGTCCATGCCCTTTATTTTAAAAGGTAAATTTAAATGTTATGTTGCTAGAGTTGTGTATTAATATTTTAATAAAATTTATGTCCCAAGACTAATTTTCCTAGGACATCATGTCCATGTCATTAACATGCCTAGGTTATAACGTCCATGTCCTTTATTTTAAAAGGAAAAAACTAATGAAACTTTCCCATCTTAACTAAGAATTTTTTTTTTCTTTTCAATAATCTTTATAATATGATAAAAATAACTAGAAAAACAAGTCTTAGGACAATTTTCCTAGGAAAATAAGTGCCAGACATATTTTACTAGCTATGGACTTATTTACCTAGGAAAACATGTCCTGGGACTTACATTCCTAGTAAAACAATGGTCATGGACTTGGTTAACTAGGAAAAAAAGTCTGGCGGACAAATTTTACTACCGGACCAAATTTACTGTTACACCTGTTCCCTGTTAGAATTTACTTAGTGATAATATTGTTTATTGTTTATTAGAAATAATAAAAATGTTTCTGAAATCCAAAATACGGTACCCGAAAATGTAAAAAAACAAAACTAATAAATACGTTTGAAAAAAAAATATCTCCTCTATTTCCCTAAAACATCACACAAAAAGCTAACGAAATGTATGATACTGCGTGCTCACCGTGGAACAGTTCATGTGTTTTGACTACATTTTGGCTTATATTTACCACCGGAAAACATGCAGATCTTTCCAAACGTTATTCTTAAAACTGTCAAATATGTCAAATATATCAATCACCTCCAATAACCTCTTTAAACATGTAAAACGGTTTGTTTTCACTGCTGCAATAAGCATATCCAATTAGAGTTTAATAAATATGAATACTGTTTAACTTATTTAACTATTATGTGGAAATGGAATTTGCCTATCTTACACCGAACAACCAATGCCTTTTTAACTTTATCAACGGTCGTGTTCAGCATTATGTCTATAAGATATGTCTTAAATAGACTTACATGTTTTTAAACTTAAAATCCAAAATTACTTTGAAAGTCATTTTAAAAAAAAATACTTTATATTTGTTTATTCGAAATATATAAACAAATGCGTTATTTAAACTATAAGAGAAAATACGTTCTGCCAGTGATAGTAAAAAAAAGTCTAAGAATAAATATAAAGTAAAACATATACACTACTGTTTCAGGTTATGGTGAAGGTTGGCGCCTGTTAAAACGTTTAAACCCGCTGCATTTGTATGCACCTGTCCTAAGTCAGGAGCCTGTTGTTCAGTGGTTGTCGTTTGTTGATGTTGTTCATAAGCGTTTCTCGTTTCTTATATAGATTAGACCGTTGGTTTTCCTGTTTGAATTGTTTTACACTAGTCATTTTGGGGCCCTTTTATAGCTTGCTGTTCTGTGTGAGCCAAGGCTCCGTGTTGAAGGCCGTACTTTAACCTATAACTGTTTACTTTTTAGACATTGTGACTTGGATGGAGAGTTGTCTCATTGGCACTCATACCACATCTTCTTATTTATAAGTATACTAAATTAGCAATCCAAGGTTTTAACTTCACAATAGAAAGACGAACTTACACGGGGTTTGCTTTTCTGTTTGGATACTTTTGTTTCTTGTTCTTTTGAAACGGTTATATATTTAACTTTCCAAAATGTTTTGCATACATGGTGGAACACCTGTCGTTAGCATTGAAAGCAGTATCATACATTATTTTACAGGTAACTTAAAATGTTTGGTCCATTTTGTTATTTTGCGTTATAACAAGTCAAAATGGTACTTTAAAAAAGCTAAAAATAAAGTTCAACAATTTAAGCGTCAACAGATGTCTAATTCTATGTTAAAAATTCGATAGATTCCTTATTACTCTAAAGATGTTATGATACTACAAAAAGTAAAATTAGTCAAGAGATTCACAATTTTAATGGTGGTTAACGTTCGAAACTTTCGTGTCTATATTTTAGTAAGTGATCACTCAATGGTTTTAGGGGTAATACATTTCAAATTTTGTGCCAACTTTGTACAAC